CCACAAGGCTCTGTCATTCTCGGCCAGAAGTTGTCAAGCCTACTAGGAAGGGGCACCTAGGAGGCCAAAAGATTCTCTGTCTGGTTTTCCTGTGTGCTTCCCGTGATGTTTGATCCACAACAGCACTAGAGTTCTGTGTCCTACAGTCACGTTGTGGAGCCTGACCAATGTGTTTGGATTCTTGCAGCCACCCCGGGCACTTCAGGGCCCAGCGCTCTCGCTGGCAGTACAGCCTGTGCAGCACGGACAGCCTCCAGCTCAGCACAGAACACACCTGGGGAGGAGGAATGGCCACCAGCAGATCTAGGCTTTGCCGTAGAGAAAATGATTCGGGAGATCAGGAGGTCCCTGTCTGAAAGATCTCCCTCTGCTCAAGTAATTCCATTGGATAGGGATAAAAGTGGTGGACTGAGAGCTTTTGAACCTTGTTACATGGCTGAGAAGCAAAGGCTTCTTTAATTGAACTTATTTCATCATTATTTAGTTGTTGAATTATTCTTGGTAAAGAAAGATTTCTAAAAGAGGAAATGAAGAATAAATGAAGAAGAGGTTTTACTTGCTGGGAAAGAGGAGAAGAGTGTTTGGAGAAGTGGCACTGAAGGCCAAGGGTCCCGTGCACGTCCCCTCACTTGATGTCTTGTGGTTTTCTGTGTTCCCCTTTTGTCTCAAAGGTCATTTTGTAAGAGCTTCAGTTTCACCTTGGCCCCCTGGATCCTGAGTTTAAAAGGCTTGTCATGTGAACTGTGTGGGCAGTGTTCCCTCCTCTGTGCCCCATGTCCTTTGGGAGTGGAGAAGGAGTTATTGTATCCCTGATATGATTACAGCAAAATAGTGAGTGATCTTTGGGTTCCTTTCTTTCTGTTTTTCTGCTCAGGGCAATGTTGGTGTTGCCCCTGATTCTCCAGGAGGAGACCCTGTGAACAGAGCTGCAGCAGAGGAAGCTTCATCTGGCACCAAGAGCTGCAGGAACAGTTCCCAGGAGCCCGAGGAGCCTGGTAAGGACAGAGGCCCCACTGGTTTAGAGAGCTGTGNGATCCGCGCTTGGGGCGCTCGGGACCGCAGGAGAAGTGCCACCGGCAGCTGTCATTGGTTTGGCCATTTGTATGGCATTTGTGTCTGAGTTCGGCCTTATTTGGCTGTGCCATATCTGGGAGCATAAAAACTATTTTTCATGAAGGTAAGAAAATGGTTTGATTGTTATCCTATGTGCGCATTATGCTAAATATAAACACTCCCTATTTTACATGCCAGAGGCCTGCCTTAAAGAACCTCTGACTTTGCAGATACTATTTCCATAATTGTATATCTTTCAGAGGAAGCAGCACAGTTTATCTGAACTAAGTCCTTCCTTACACTTAAGAGAAAAAACAGGCTGTGTGAGAGCTCTGCTAGCTGGGAATGCATGAATGGAAGAATTTTAGGACATTGCTATGGAAAGTGCAGATGTTTAAGTAGGTATGTTATTAATAAGAAGCTTGACTAGGCCAATATTCAAGCAGCAATCAATTTATTATTTAATATGGTAAAGTATGAGCAATACAGAGCTGGGTACACGGGGGGAAGTTTTCCCTCCAACTGCATGCCGATAATTATTGTTTACAAGTATTTATAGGAGTACTCATTAGTTTTTTTCGGCAGTTTCTATTTTCAATCTTTTACTCATCAGCAATTTTTATTCCAAATCATTACATCATAATTCTATACACTATTGTGATTTTAATTTCTCAGGATGTATCTCAAAGGAGTATCCCCAGATAGTGACGGTCCAGTTTCTGAAAGAAGAAAGACAACTCCCATCTGGTGGGGTCCAGCTCCCCAGATGTGTGTCCACCTTTTAATTGCAGAGGCTATAAATCTCATAACAGTGATGTCCAGCTTCCCTTTGGTCGAAACCATAAACCCTTGAGGTGATGTTCGTCTTCCTTTCTCAAGCTGTTTTTCTCTGCTTCAATAAGGCACGAGATAAGCATATTTCCTTTATATATATTCCAAAGCTATAGTTTCAAGGATACAAGTAATACTCTAAAATTATACTTCAAAAGGTTATTATTGCAGAGCTTTTTATGGATTATATGCAAGCAAAAAGCAACATCTTTGACACCTTAATTCCAATGCTCCTAAATCAACCAGGGTTAATTGCAAACAAAAGATAGGTTCAAAGGCCTTTTTCTATGTTTTATTTTCCTCAGTTATTATTAGAATTGGCAACTGTCCCATTGTTGGTGTCCACACATTTGCGTTCACAAGTACACACTTGGCCTGTTTGTACCTGACATGAAACACAGCTTTGCATCTCACAGGTATGCTCATTTATGAAGGTAAGTACAAAAATCTGAATTTTTCCTGTATTACACTGAGCCCCCAATATATTTTGCAATTGCACTTTCCTCTGTATTTTTTCATGCTGATGTCACTGGCAGTGACATGCTCTGTGCTAAGTGCTGGATTGGATGGTTGGCTGGGAGATGCCTTTAGTTTTATGGCACACAGGGGCCTAAGGAGGGTGTGCGGGTGTCCCTGTGCTCTGGCACCAGCTGAGGTGCAGGAGCACTTCCAGGGCTGCCTCCAGGCATGATGAGCTGGAGGCTGGAGTTAAAGCTGTGCCTTCTGCTGACCAGCTGATACCACCTCTGACCGTGAACAGCTGGGCCTGATATAATAAATAGAGCTTTCTTCCTTTCTTACTAAGAGCCAGAGTCTGATAAAATGGATTCTTCATCCTGCTCTGACCAGTGAATACCAGGGTTCATTTCCACAAATTTCCTGCTTTATCTGCTTTGTACCTGCCAGCTACATGAGCCATAATGTCCTGCTACTCAGCTTCCTTGAGAGAAGCAAGCATTTCTTTGGAAAAGAGCTCTTCACTAACAGTTGGACTCACAAGTGGCTCATTGATGTCCCTCTAATTCCCAAGTTGTTCCACATCTACAGCTGCCTTTTAGGGATGGACCCTGATGCTCCTCTGATTTCTGTGGGATCTTCTTTGCCTAACACTTTCAAGAATGAGCTAGAAGAGGCAAGTCGAGGTTCAAGGGAAGGACTTGTGTTTCCTACTTCATCCTGGGTCATTTAATTTGAAAAGTTTTAGACTTTGATTTTCAACAGTGAATTGTCATCGGCCCAGACTTCAAAATCTCTAGCACATTCATGTTTTCAACATTAAAGTTTTTACACGCTAAAACAGTACTTTTTACTGAATTTGAGTAAAAAATTAAATGGGTGAAGATCCCTCCACTTAGTGTTTTGCTTAGTGAAAATTCCATATTGATACAGAATAAAGTGGATTTATTTGGATACTCCTGAAAACACCCTGCCTTCCTTCTCCCCTTCCTTTGCTCAGTGCAAGGAATAGCAACATTTCTTATGTCATATATGTTTGCCACTTTGCCAAACATTTTGGAACAAGCAAAACTGAGTGACGCCTTTTTTCACCAAAACATGCAAGCACTTGTGCGAATGTTTCAAATTTCCAAAAGTCAAGCTAAGGCTATCATCAGTACTTGCCCTGACTGTCAGCTTGTGTAGCCTCCTGTTTCTACAGGAGCAGTCAACCCACGATGTTTGCAAAGCCTGCAGTTATGGCAAACAGATATCACTAAATACCCTTCCTTTGGTAAATTTAAAAATATTCATGTTTCAGTAGACATGTTCTCTGGTGCAATTTTTGCTTCTCTTCACACAGGTGAAATAAGTAATAATGTAATGAGACTGATGCTGAAAAATAAACAGCTCAACGCACTTTCCCAGCAGCCCCATCTTGTTCATAGTCTGTAAATAAACCCCCTCGCCAGTGTAAGTTTGAAGATCATACATTTAGTAATGCAAGGTAGTTAAAATCATCTGTTCTGGAATCCCTTCCCAACTTCAAAACCCACACACCTAATTTTTTCCTCCAGCTACAGCAAACCTAGACATCTTTCCCCTGCTTTCTCTATTGTAATTGACTAGTCCTTTCTCTCTTTCATCACTGATTTGGTCAAATAAAACTAAAATGCTTTGATCGCTTAAAGCATAGTGATCTAGTCAGCATATTTCCTATTTTCCCATTTATTAGGCAACAAGACTTAATTCTGACAGGTAATAAATACATGCAGTGAGGGGTGGTCTTAATTTAGGAGTCTGGCTAGCAGGAGGGGCAACCAACAACCCACTGCAACAGGACGAGCGCCCCTCGCCATCTATGGCCTCAGGCTGCACTCGTGGCAGACGGATTCGCTGCTGATGAGACAGAAGAGTCTGGACACTCACTGGGGACTGTGGGATTTATTGTAGAACCCAACGTGTCAACCAGGGAGTGACCCGGAACAAGGGGTGCAATAGGGTTATAAAGGGGGGAGGAATTCCAATAGGGGAAGGTAAAGGAGCGGGCTTAAGATGATAGGCATAAGGGTAGAACCAATAGATACAATGTAAGGGAGGGGCCCCAGAACCACAGCCAATCATACCTCCCTAAGTGGAGAAGATTCTGTCAAGATGGGAGGAGTGGGGAGTGATTGACTGGGCCCAGGGAGGAGAAACAAGTCTACATAAAAGGGAATGAGGGGGAGAGGAAATTATATAACAGAAGGCATTGACAGAAACTGGTGGGAGTTACTAGGGCAACCAATTAATTGACAACACAATGGCGGGAAAACTGGTGAGGGCAGAACCATTACAGAAAATGGGGGAGCAATACAGAAAATGGGGGGAGCAATTAAACAGACTAACAGAACACACTACAACAAAAACAGACCTTCATCTTTAAGAGGCAGAGGACATGAATTCCATTCATATTGGCTCCTTAATATTTATTTTATCTTCAGAGTGACTCATGAACCCTTTCAAGTTTGGATAAGCAATTAATGCATCAGTGACTGCAACAGACAAGGAAGAGATGATGGTGAGCAAGCAAATAATGGCTTGCTTAGCCACACAGCAGGCTCTGCAGTTTTAAAAGAGAATTTAATTATATTTTGTGAGTTTTAAAGAAGTAAACGGAGAACAAAAATCTTTAAATGTTTGGAAGTATCATATATAATAATACAAGTGTTAATGTGAGAATCTACAGAATATCCTGCTTAATGATGCATGTGGTTGTGCAGGTTTTTTTTTTTGTTCATGGGTATGCTTGTGTAAATAACCACATGTAAAGGAATTTTTCTAACTCTTTGCAGGAATATTTAAATGGGATACATATTCATGCTCTAAGCTCTGTGTGCTGTGGCAAGAACACTAATGCCTATATATATAGCAGGGTTTCCTTTTAGAAAACTCTTTTTTCCTACTCATTTCCAGCTTGTTCCCTGCTCTCCTTGGGTCAGCAGAGCAGTGCCACTCTGCCTCCACCTGGAATTTGTCTGTCCCTTTCTTCTTCCTGTTCCAAAATCACCCTTAATCCCTGCCTCCCACAGCTCTGCCCACTGAGAAATAAGTGCAGCACCAACCAGTTCATGGTCTCCACACCTGTGCATTATTTGCTGCCATTCCACAGAACCCAGTGGAGATGTGTGGGCTGTGCTACCATTGGTGGATTTATGTATTTTCACATCTCCACAATTGTCATGGATTTAATGCTGCCTCTGCTCCTGAATCTCTCTATGTCCATTTATCTACTGCTATTGCTCAGGGTACCCGGTGCTTTTCAGCTGGAGCAGAATTGTTTTAGCAGACATGTATGTGAATGCTTGTGCAGATACAGTGTAATAGGGGCTTAAGAGAGCTGCATCATACAAAACAACATCAGTGGGCATTTTCAGGAGAATCTGAAGAGGAGGGGATGTAGTTCTTACACACTGGACAACAGCTCCTAGTGCCTGTTGTCACAGAGCACCCTGCAGATCATTCTGTGCTCCTTTGTGCTCGGCCCGAGGTGCCAGTGCTGCTCTCTGGGCTTGTGCAGAGCCAAGGAGATCCCCATGGAGGCCACTCTACAGCCTCATGGATGCACAAGAACTTCAGGACACATTTAAGCCTCACACACATGCAAAAAACCGAAACCAAACTAAAACACCACAAAAAACAAAAAAACTCCCATGCAAACAAAAAACCCATGGAAATTTGTTTACAAGTTATAATTGATTGTCTCGTGTCACCTCCATTCTGTTTTTCAAAGCACTGTCAATGTTCAGACAGAAGGACAAAGACAGGTTTTAGCAGGACTGACCAAGTTTTGGTAGGGAAGGAGCCTGCTCTCCCCCATCGGAGCATGCTGGCTCTGCCTTTCTGGATGGGTGGCACAGCCCTGGCCGTGGCAGAGCAGCTCCTGTGCCCCCGCAGTGGGGCTCACAGCACTTTAAGCCACTCTCACCCTGCACTGCCCAAGGGCTGCTCTGGCAGCGCCCTCAGCTCCCTCTTGGCCCTTTCCCTCCGTGCTGCCCTGGCAGCTGAAAGCCGAGCTGGCCCAGGGGGCGTCTGGGCTCTCAGCCACAGCTGGGTTCTGCAGCCTGGAGCTGCCACGCTGGGGAACCCACAGCTGAGAGCCTCCCTGGAGTGCAGCAAACAGAGGGCCTGGCAGGAGGGGACAGGGCCCTGAGGTCAGGCCAGAGATGAAGGAAAAGGGGAATGGGAAAGGAGAGAGGAGAAAATTCACAGGGCTTGAGAGCTGAATCTTCCCTGCAAACTTTGTATACAATCTGGATTCCCAAAAGATCAATGGTGTCTGAGTTTATTATTAAATAAAAGAGATGAAAAAGAATATTGATTAGTTGTTTATTGGCTATTCTGAGCACTGATGATTTTGGGATCTGAGAAATTGGAGTGTGTGACCATGATACTAAAAAAAGATACATATGCATATAAAAATGTAGGAATCAGAAACACAACATAAAAAAATCAAAGATCAAATAAATTCTGGCATTTCCTCATTTTGAAAGTAAGGAAATCTGAGCTACAGGTTTGCTAAAATTCTTGCAGGTACTTTTATATGTAATACAAGCATACAAAACTTCAGAATAGCATTTTCAAAAACACTTTGTCCTCACCATCTTCTAACAGTTTTCCAAACAGTTGGAGACTGAAATAAACAGGGCTAGGAGACTTCTTCTCTTTTTTAATGCCTTTATTAAAAGTGGTCAGCTCAGGATTGGGCAGCTTGGCAGGGCTGCAGTTGGAGACTGAAATAAACAGGGCTAGGAGACTTTTTCTCTTTTTTAATGCCTTTATTAAAAGTGGTCAGCTCAGGATTGGGCAGCTTGGCAGGGCTGCAGTCTCCCGTCGTCTCTCTCAGGGCGACCCAGAGGAGGAGGATAGGCACAGCTTTGTCCACTAGGGGCAGAGCCGGGGATTAGGTCTTTGTGAGAGCCTTTTAGGGCGCAAAGATCTCTTCGTTGTTACTTTTCCCGGCTCCGTCCCCCTCAGTCTTGGCACTGGGATGACTCCCGTGGTCAGGGCGAGAGGGACTCTGAAGGTGTTCCGCATCTCTGCAGGCTCAGCACTCGGCTCCTCACGTCCAGACATCACTCCAGTCTCTCAACTCTTATTTGGCTCGTTGTTTTTGGGGTTTTCTCAGTACGTTTGGAGCCGTAGTCCCCCACAGCATGCTGGTCCTGGAGTCACTTTGCATAANCCGACCCTCCTGGGGAGGCTCTGACATTTCCTCTTCCCTGATGGAAGTGCAGCTGCTGTCAAAGGAAACCTCCCCATAGTCACTCAGTGTTCCCTTTGCTTCTCAGAGTCCCATCTGCTGCCCCTGCCCAGGAGAGCTGCTCTGCACGGGAGGAGGAGACGGAGGGAGAGGCTTTGAAGGTGGGGCACCTGGGATCCCTCTGCTTGGAGTTCCATGTAGACATGTCTAGAAGTGCACATAGAGATGGATTATCATTTGGATATGTACATATGTGGGTCGCTATTTGTATAGGACTATTTCTGTATGTATGGTGTTCAGGGATGTGTGCTCTGTATATATGTATGAGTATACATACATATATGTTTGTAATTACATCTACGTGTATATTTGTATCTAAGTATACATGGATGTTGTTATATCTATGTTTAGTTCTGTTTCCTATTTATACAGTTGTGTTGCAATTTATTTCCATTGATGCAGCTATAGGCATATGGGTCTTTAAATAGTTATATTGGTATTTGCATAGGTATATATGTCTATTTTTATATTTTTATATGTATACATATGTATAGATGTATATTTGTATTTATGCATTTGTATTGATATTTATCTTGGCACAGTGATATTTTGTTATTTATAGATAGGTTTGTGTTATATATCTGTTTATATATATAGTATATAATATGTAATATTCAATCTATATTTATATCTGTATATTTTTATATATGTATTTCTATATATTTATTTATGTTTATCTATTTATTTATATTTCAACATTATGGAGTTGTATAGTTGTAAAATTCTATTGGTTCTGTGTATAATTGTATGAGTTCTTGGTACACGGCTATTTAGAGAGAGAATTCTTACTTTTGCATTTCTAGATGGGCTGTATGTTTGTAGTTATATGTAATAAATTAAGTTATTGAATGCCTAATTGATCTTTGTGTATTGTGAGTTGTTTCAGAGGTTGCAATAAATTAACTTTTATTAACTGAAGTTAGTATTTGTATATTTTTACACAGACTGGTTGGAACAATCTAATAAATTCCTGGTTTTAACCTAAATTGAGATTTGTATAGTTCTGTATTGTCAGCGTGGGTGTAGCACTTTGTAATAAATGACATTTTTCAACTGAAATTGATTGTCATGTATTTGTGGATCAGCAGTGTGGCTGTAGCAATCTGCAAGAAATGCCATTTGTCAGCTGCGATGGGTGTTCTGTGATTTGTGCTAAATTGGTGTATTTTATTGAACAGTAAAAGAGGCAAAGAGAATAGAAAGGAGGAGAAAGAAGTGTGCATGGGTGGTGCGGGGACAGGGAGAGGGTGGCAGGGGTTATGTGTGATGGCCTTATCAGCTATCCAAGGGTCCCACCATGTCTCACTGGTCTCCTCTATCTGGTTGCCTTGGTGGTGAGGGTCCCACACCACACTGCCACACATCCTGGTGAGTGAGGGATTCCCTGGATTAATACACGCTTTGGGCTGGTGGGAATGCCCAGGTGCCTCCCTTGCGGGGGGCCAGCTGGACACTGTCCCTTGCTGCACTGAGGGTCTGTGGCATCGGGCTGCAGTGCTCTGATGCAGGGTCTGGGCACCCCTTCGGGGAGCCCTTTGATGAGGCACATCAGCTCCTCTGTTGTGGAAAGCTTTCCCGCAGTGAAGGGCCCCACAGCTGGGCTGCTCTGCCCAGCAGAGAATGGGCAGCCACTGCCTCTCACCAGAGGCTTTCCAACACTCACCCAAAGCATCTTTGCCCCCAGCTTTGGTGCCAGGGTCTGTGTGAACCTGGCAGCTGATAGCCCTGGGGCTGTCATCTCCACCCTGAAGGCATTGGCTTTGCTTCCTGAATGCCCTTGAACTGTTACTTTGTCT